CAGGCGAGATGCGGGCTGCAAGGAAAACAGGGGTATGATAAGGATGCGAGAGACTGTAGGATTCGATGCGACTATCGACTCTATAGACGTGGACGATGAAGCGTGAGGTTGGACTGACACACGCGCCTCAGGCCGAAAGGACAGGATGCGCGACAGCCGTCGCACCAAGATGAATTATGACGATGGAGCGACTCCGGCTGTCAGTGGATGGCATACCATGGTTCTTGCGATATTTTCCGGTCGCTCAGCGTTGGCGCAGTCTCGTAGCATGGGTCTTCCCAGGCCGGCGTCGATGGTGGACCGAGAGTGGGGAGACATGCCCCTCCGGAACGTCTCTTCCATGACCTCGGGTTGTCACTTGGTAGCACCTGCCCGCGCACTCATCGTGACTGGGCAGCGCAGTCATAGCAAGTCACGTAGGAACGCGTGGCGTGATATGAGTAGGACGTGTCAGCAAGCTGTTTGCCAATGGCGGATATCGAGATTGAGATTTGACAATGATATGCACTAAGCTGCTTGCGGCTATGAAGTCATTTTGCATGTCCCCGCTACGCGCTACGATCTCCCCAGGATGTTTGAAGCGAGCCCACGATCTGGTTCATCGTGTTGGCCTGTAATTTGGCCAATATTTGTCAATACAAAACAACATGTACAACATGTCGCGATGATATGAGAGCTGTAGTAGGGATCCCGACTGATATGAGACGGGTAAGAGCGTGGCAAGACGGCACTACATGTGATCAATAAACCTACAGTAACAATTGCAAACCTATGAAGGGTCTAGATTCTGACGCATTTTGGGTTCATCGGGACGCTTCGATGCGTTCCGTAACATGGTGTACGTTGCTTTTGAGTACCGAAGTTGCAGAGGAGTACCCCACGGCTCAGGCTTCGTCACTTCAGAAAAGTCACATCATGCTTTCACGCGTCATTCCCAGATGATGACTGGAGCCGATGTATACATGGATCACAAAACTGTATATTCAGAAATTAACGAATACGATGCTTGGAAAGCGTATATACTCTTTATTGAGTATCTTACTGTCTTACTGATATACTATATCTACTTCGTATACCTCTTCTGCAAATGCTTCCCAATCGTCGTAAGCTGAATATTACTCGTGCCCTCATAAATCGCGCCAATCTTACTATCCCTAAAGTACTTCTCCGCCAGTCCCTCTCTCACAAAGCCCATGCCACCCATCCACTCAATCGCCTGACCGCTCACACGTCCAGCGACTTGACTCGACATGAGCTTCGCCATGGCGGCATCCATGATAAAGTCCTCACCCGCCTCCTTCTTGCGCGCGGCGTTGTAGACGAGGGCGCGGGCGGCTTGGATTTCGGTCCAGGCCTGCGCGAGTTGGTGCTGCATGGATTGGAATTCGCCGATTAGTTGGCCGAATTGCTTGCGGTCGTTCCAGGCGTAGCTAGGTGATGTTAATGCATGATCAGATATGTTTGTGAGGATGATGTAGACGTACCCAGCGGCGTTTTCCCAAGCACCCAGTGCAAGACCCGTCATCTGCGCAGCAATACCAATACGACCCTCGTTCAACAGCGCAATAGCGTATTTGTAGCCCTCAAACTCCTTGCCCAGCAGATTGTCCTTGGGGATCTCGACGTCGTCGAAGTTGATGACGCAGGTACTGCTCGCCTTGATACCGAGCTTCTTCTCCTTCTTCGCGATAGAGAAGCCCGGTGTGCCCTTCTCTACGATAAACGCAGTGATACCCTTGTACTTCTTGCTGGGATCGAGGTTGGCGAAGACGATGAAGAAGTTGGCTTCGACGCTGTTCGTTATCCACATCTTGCTTCCGCTGATCTTGTAGCCGTTGTCTGTTCGGGTGGCCTTGGTCGCGAGGGCGAAGGCGTCGGATCCGGATACGGGCTCTGAGAGACAGAAGGAACCGACGGTGTTGGTGGCGAGCTTAGGAAGCCATTCCTTCTTGAGCTTCTCGGAGCCGTACTTGAGGATGGCCGTGTTGACGAGTGTGTTGTGGACGTCGCACATGACGCTCACACTGGGGTCGACGCGCGCGAGCTCCTCGATGGCGATGATGGCCGATGTGAAGTTCATGCCTGAGCCGCCGTATTCCTCGGGTATCTCGATGCCCATGAGGCCTTGCTCGAAGAGCTGCTCTACTACCGCCGGGTCCATCGCTTCGGCCTCGTCCATGGCTCGCGCCTTGGGCAGGATGGCTTCGTTGGCGAATTTCGAGACGGACTCGCCCATGAGCATCTCCGTCTCGGACAGGTGGGTAATGGGCGTCGGTGGCACATCTGAGATGTCAATCGCTTCCCGGCGGGCGGCAGTGGTTGAGAGGCATCGTAATCTGCGTGGCCATGGTGTTAGTCTTGTATATTATCGCCTTCGTGGAGTATACATACTGCGGGGCGGCGCGGGCAGCCGGTCGCAGCGAACGCGACGAAGCGGTAGCAACGCGAGTGAGGGGTCTTATTGAACGTGAAAAAGAAGCCATTTTTGCGATATTGGTTGAGAGTTGAGGAAACGAATGTGGCAGTGGTGAAAGTCAACGACGGAAGCCCGCCGCTCACATGCCGAGGCAGCTTAAAGTTAGCCGGCGCAGGCCGCACCATGCATGCCCATATGTCCGGGGTTGTGGAGAACGCCCGTCACATGTCAGCCGCCACCTACCAGAACGAGTGAATCTCACGCACTGTGCCGCTGCGCTGCTGCAGAGCCGCATGCCGTCAGATCTTAACCACACAACATCAAGCCGTGGTAAGTGTATTGCAAACTAAATACTAAGCTATAGCCTTGGTCGACAACAAGCAGCGCAAGGGTATATGAAAAGGACGGCATGCAAGAAACAAAAATAAAATCAACTGGTCGTAACACTGACATGACAAGGGAACAACAGCCTCTATTCAACAAGGAAAGCTGCCTTCCAGCTGCAAGAAAACCCCTTCCTATTAAGAATTGTTATATCCGCAACTCCAACTACGCCCCCCCTCGTGGCATCTAGACGCGGTTGTTGGACCCCATGGCAAACCTGCCGGCCTGCATCTGCGCCTTGTACTCACTCAGCTCGGCAGCCTCCTTTTGCTCTTCAGCAAGGAGTGCTTGCGCCTCCTTCCTGCCTGCGCGGCGCTGCTTGATGCAGCAGAAGAGGATGATGATGGAGGCAATGGCTACGAAGCCGAGGATACCGGCGATGATGCCGATCTTGGCGCCCTTGGAAAGGTCGTTGAAGCGGTTCCTGACTCCGTGGGGAGACTTGATCTCTTCGAGGGTCTCAGATTTGCCCCTGTGTCTTGTTAGCTCTGTACCGGATTTTCAACGGACGTAAACTTACTGGATGACCTTGACCTTCTCCCAGTCACCAGATGCGTCCATGCCTTCCCACGAGTACTTGGCAGCCTTGGTGTAGTCTTCCGCGTAGACGGACTGGATCGTCATGATGTAGGGACTCTTGTCAAAGTCTGTCACGCCACCAGCCCACTCAATAACACCTGGGTCGTTCTTGTTGGGGTCACCCGCAGCCCACGATCCGAGACGGATGTTCATTGGTGTTTGAGGGTAGCGAGTGCCGTTCTTAGCCTCCTCCGGGGTGAGCTCTCTGACTTCCTTGTCGTCCACATACCACTTGATGCGGTCCTTCGTCCAGTCGATGGTGTAGTTGTGGTAGTCGTCCTGGGGTGCGAAGCCAAGATCAAAGTCCTTGCCGCGGTCGTACGTCTCGGTGTCGCCCTTGCCGAAGTAGTTGGTCAGGATCATCTTGTCGTCGCCGCGGAACTCCCAGTCGATCTCGTCGAGCGCCTCGGACTGCAGGATGGCACTGGAGATGATACCCTTGCCGGTCGCCACCTTCATGACTACCTCGAGGCGGCCGAAGAGCATGTAAAAGACCGAGTTCGCCGTGGGAGAGTCGCCGGATCGCTCAATGGCAAAGGTCGCGCCCTTCTCGTTCCAGTCGATCTTGCCCTGGTTGGGCATGCGCCAGATCTTGTCGTTGTTCGGGATACCAGTCTTGTTCCAGTTGAAGGTGGCGTTTCCGCCGAGCGCCTCCATGTCGGGACATCCTGTGGTGTTGAGCGGGTTGCCTGTCTACGTCAGTACGTCTATCGCAAGTAGACTTCAAGTCGCGTACAGTCGGTGTGCGTCTGCGCAGTGGTGGTCGAGATAAGGCCTGCGATAAGCGCAGCCGTGGAAAGGGCGAATGACTTCATCTCGGCGTATTACGATGATCTGTAAGCACGATGTGTAAAGAGCGTGGTAGTGCGCGTAGACCAGACGCGCTGTTGGTGTTTGTAGCAAGGAGCGACTGGGATAGCGAGTGCTGAGTAAAGAGTGGATTCTCGTGACGAGAAAAGGAAAACGAGGGGAAAGTCGTTCAAGGGAGCGTCAGGGCCGCGTTTTAGAGACAGCGTGGTGAAGAGCATTTGGGGTGCTGCCCTGCACGCAGATTTAAGGAGTCGTCTAGTGCACAAATGCTCCCTGCCGCTCGCTATTGGTCGGCGGACCTTAAACTACAAACGGCGCTTGTCGATCCCCGAGAATAGCGACTCTCCTGAGCGCTTTGTGCATTCAATGGCTTGCTGGCTGAGGATCTGTTCATTGAATATTGCACTCGCCTCACTCGCTGTCCGTTGCCGTCGTTTGGTCTCGAGCAGGCCGCAAACGACTCCCCCAGCCGCTTGTGCGACCTCGCGCTATCGTGTCTCACCTGCATACCGCGGGTGGCTTTGCGCCAGGCCGGGAGCCAAGGAGATTGTGAAACACCAGGCACGCTGCACTGCGACCCTTGAAGCGACCGTCTGCTCTCTACGCCACTCGCGCTGCCATGCGATATGCCGCTGCGATAGCGATACGATGTGGAGCACGAATCCTAAACGCTTAATGGATCCGCATCGTCATGGCCCACCACTGCCGGCCTGCGCGCCACTCTATACGAGCCGAATTGCCGTGCTGCGTCCTGAGGGAAAAGGCCGTTTGACCGTGCCCAAAAGAGTCCTTCACCCGTCTGTGCTTCCTCTCACACAGTTGTACCCCGCCGAGCCACCTCCTCCAGAGACCTCCTCTCGGCGTCATTACGCTCTCCGTGGTTTCCATCCATCGTATCCGGGACTTCTCTGCCATCGACTGCCGGCACGAAGAACTTGCCCCATGCAAATGCAGGACCGTCCATGGCAAACTTGCCCTGCATGCGCCAGCGGCCCATGTACACATTGAGTGCGACGAGGACTTTGGCGAGACATGTCCAGTCGAAACCAAAGTACAGCCCTGCTCTTCCATCAGAGACGACGTACTTGTGCCAGATACCCCAGAGAACGATGTATTCGGCCTGATCTCCTATGTCGCCATCGTCGACCGTCATTCGATGCCATTGCAGCAACGCTCGCATGACTTCATTGCACGACTCCATGACCTGGCGCGGCGAGCGCGAGTGGATCACAGCCAACGTTTCGTATCGACAGCCAGTCTGCAGGAGCTGTATACACAGGAGCGCCTTCTCCATGCGACTCATCGAGCCAGAGCTTGCAATGAAGCCTGCATTGCTCAGCCACTCTTTGATCGCACGCAGCTCGTGAAGCTTCATGTAGTGCAGATACGGCAGAACGAAGCGAGCGTCCTCGATCCCTTGCATCGTCATCTCAGTAATCATGAAGCCGTTGCAGCTACCTCGGCGCTCCTTATACGGGTTGCGCAGGGTAGGATCCATGTTGGCTTCCTCTTCTTGCACGCGCAGCTTGACTTCGTCTCTCGGTTGCGGAAACTTGAGGGGATGCGTTGTGGGTAGGTGTAGGCTCTCCGAGCATTGCGATGGCGCTCCGTGGATGATGAGACGCGGTAGTTGCCTCAGCGCCTCGAAGGCGTTGGCGCGTCCTGCTCTCTGGACTGCAACTGGCGGTTGTATATCTCCGACTGGCAGGCCACCGGACATGAGGTATGTGTCTTCGTAGCGGTCGCCTTCAACAGACCGTCCATGCACGTCAAGAGCGTCATCAAACGCCTGCTTCTCCTCCGCATCGCCACGAACATACGCTTCAACCTTCCCATTATCCGTCGACGTATTCCTCCTCCCTCCATTCTGCGGGCCCGATATCCTGCGCAGCTTCACCCCGGTATCGCCGCCTCCCTTCGGCCCTCTTAGCCTCTCTTCAAGCTTCACCACGTTCTTATACGACCGCCAAGCATGTCTTTTGGCATCTTTGACCAGTGCCTCAATCTCATCTCCAATTTCGCAGTATATATTTGCATCGAGCTTCTCGAGATCGCGATGCGCACTCTTCAGTTCGCGCTTCATTTCTGTGACGCGAGTAACGTTCGATCGTTCGTGTTCCGTGAGGCCTTGGAGCCATTGGATGTAGCTGCTGACACCGCGTACATAGTCTTTTATGTCGTCTAGTCTGTCTGGGATCGTGCCGACGGAGGGGTGGGGTGCGTGACGGCTTTTCGGCGCCGTTGTGCGTTCCTTCGATTGTGGTTCCTCTGCAGTGGGTCTGGAGGTGGTTCCTGCATCTGCATGTGCATCCGTACCTGCATCTACGATTATCGATCGGCGCGGACTGAAAGGATTGTAGAATCGGCCCATTGCAGCTTCTAATCGTTACGCATGTCGTGGCATGATTATGCTGTAGACCCCAGGTGGCCGCTGCCAAAACGCCCTTCGCTTCGTGTACCCTTAGAGATCCACCTTTCGTCAGTTTTATGGAAGGACATCTGGTTGGCTCCACATACTCATTCCGATACATACAAAATTGCGGGGGGAGCGTGAAGAGAAGAACTCCGGATGCTTACGCAGTGCGCAGACTGCTTTGATCTCGATCAGAATCAAAGACCTAGGATGTTGAGCTGAATATCTACATCCTCCCAACAACATCCCCCAACTCAGTCCGTGGCCTAACAATCGGCTTTACTGTCCCTCTCACGCGCGTCCGTTGCTCCATCGCATACGCCAGTCCAACAATCTTCGCATCACTCCACCTCTCCCCCAAGAAACTGAACCCAAACGGAATACCCGGCGCCGACCCCACCAACCCATCAGGATCAGTCACAACCGGCTGCCCATCCCCCATAGCCCCCATCGGTATACTCACAACCGGCGCCCCAGCAACAGCAGCAAAGGACCAAGAAAACTTCGACGGCAGAACAACAGCATCAAGATCGTGCCGTTTAATCGTTCCAAGCAATCCTCCTTCGTTGTCATAGTACAGACCTTTTTGGTACGCTTGCCAGAATTCTGGGGTCGTGTTATTCCAGTTCTCCAGCGCGAAATCCCAGACGCCTGTTGATTTGCCGGGGTAGCTTTCTAGTGGGCTTTGGCGTGTCCAGGCGCGTAGTTCGAGGAGGGTGGAGATGTTGTGCGGGTTGTACGTGAGGCGTTTGAGGTACGACTCGATGTTTACGACGAAATCGGCGGACATGATATGTAGGGCTAGGAGGGTATCGTTTAGGAAGTCTTGGGCAGCTGGGAAATCGGTATCGATGACTGATGCGCCTGCTGAGCGTAAGATGTCTAGGGTGTTGTTGAATGCTGCGATCATGGAGTATGTTGTGTTGTCTGACATGAGGTTGATGACGTTGCGAGGTACGCCTAGACGTGCACCTCTAAGTGCGGTGAGTTTGCAGGCGCCGACGAAGTCTTTGTCGACGTTCTCTGGGATGGCGGAGGTGTAGTTGTCGTATACGTCGGTGCCTACGATGCTTTGGAGGACGTAGGCGGAGTCTTTGACGGTTTTTGTTAGGGGGCCGATGGTGTCCATGCGTTCGCTGATTGGTATCACGAGGTGCCGAGATGTAAATCCAACGGCTGTTTTAAGTCAGCTGGTGATCAGATGCTACGACCAGTTACGCGTACTTGGCTTCATTCCCACGACGTTGTTGACACTGGCGGGGTCGATAATAGAACCATACGTTTCGCCGCCCAGGGTTACGGTAGCCAAACCCAACCTTCGATCGTTAGCTGATATCTGTCGATCGGCGATTCTACTCACGAAGCTGCAACTGCACTTCCGCTGGAACTACCAGATGGATCTTGACGGGGGTAGAACGCTCCGTATGTCTGCCCACCATACGCTGACCAACCATTGCTCGAGTCCCATGGTATCCTAAAGCTGCCCCATTCGCTGGGGTTTGTCTTCCCTAGGATGATGGCTCCTGCCTCTCTGAGATTCTTCGCGATAGTCGAATCAGATGAAACCTTGGCTCCGACGAGCGCGTAGGATCCAGCGGTGTTGTTCATCTTGTCTTTTGTGGCGATCTGGGATCGAAGTTGACGTTAGTGTAGCAATCTAGTGATATCGTAGAAACAGTTGATACCCCGAAGAACTGACCGTGTCTTTGATGAGTATAGGGATGCCATGCATCGGTCTGAAAGTCAGCGGATGTCGTGACCACCTCAAACCTTTTACTCACCCTCGCACCGCACCTTTCGAGCGCTCCTCCTCAAGTGCAGTCGCTATATCCACCGCATCAGGATTGATCTCAATGACTGGGCGCAATATATCGTCCACGTCGTTGATACGAGCGATGTAAGCCTATTAGGCAGCGTCAACCAACGAATACGGGGATGGTGTTCAATGCCAGCAACTTGCCTTGACAAGATCCACACTAGTAAAATGATTTCGCTCCAAGCCCTTCGTCACCGCCTCGATATCGGCTTCGTACAAGCTCGGGAACTCACCTCTTCCGGCACGTTGATTGAAGAACCAGCCCGAGCCTGCGCTGCCGATGATCAATGCGCCTAGGAGAACTCCGTAGACCATGCTCTTCGAACGACCACGCCAATGAGAAGTATTATCGCGGGATTTGTCTGTGGGCATACGATGATGTGACGGGTCCGCAGGGGCGCAGTAGTTGAGTAGTCTCTCATGCAGATGTAGTAGCCACCACTTGGTTGATGTGTCTCCGGCAGGCATGGGATGAAGTGTTTCGGTAGAGGGCTTCATATCATGGACCGTACAAAAACTTCTCTGCAGCTGACATACGGTCACGTTCGAAAAAGCCGTATTTGGTCATGTCATAGAACTTGGCGCTCACCTGGGCCGCTGCGGTGGGAGCGGGTGACTAGCCCGGAATTCCGCCCCGCACCTGCACGACGATGATGGCAGCGAACAAATACATCGCAGCTTCCTTCCTACAACCCAATCCCATACTCTCTATCTACTGAAGTACAATCTCAATAACCCAGTCCGACCCGGGACCTGACCGCAGTCTGAGTCCAAGTCGCACTCTCTTCTTCACACTCTCTATCGTCGCAGCATCAACATGACTAACTGCTGCGCGTATCTGCATGTCTCGCTGGCATGGCTGGTACTGATCACTTGTTGTTTACACTAAGTTATTGCGCTATTTCCCTACGACGAACATTTCAACCGAACCTGAATAACAACGCAAACAGATCTCGTCTCCTGTCTGATCCACATCCCTAGTCTCATTCGTCTTCACCTTCGACTTCCTTGTCCTTGTCCTCATCTTCATCCTCTTTCCTTCCACTGTACTTCAACTGCCAGCTTTTGACTTCGTCCTCGCTCGGCCAATGTTTCAGATGTTTCCAAGCCAACTTAAGCGACTCAAATCTGCCCATTTCTAACGGATAACCAAGGATTTCCGGAGCAGCGAGTTCGACCGAAGCCGCTATTCGCTGCCAAGCTCTTCCATGACCCTCTGATTGATTGACGTTCTCCTCGTACGAGTTTGAGACGTCTTTGCAACGGCAAGCATAGTGATCTAGATATGCGTGCACGAGCTCGTGAAGGATGGTGGCTAGGCGATGCAAGGCCACCACGTTCAGATTACCATGGCCTCCCATGCCGATATAATTGAAGGCGCATATACGGATCCGAGGTTTTCCTAGGCAACGTTCCCGGTATTCTGCAAGTTCCTGTGGCCTTTCTGTCCAATCTTCCCATGTAAAGCCCACATCCATCTGAGCGTCCGTTGACGTAGTTGGAAAGAAGATTCCCGAGAGGACGTCCATCAGCATCTTCATCTCATTCTCGGAGACATCCTTGCCATCATCATGCCCTAGTCTTTGTAACAAAGAGCCTTCCGACTTGTCTTTGCGCAATCTCTCCCAATCATTGCGTGCTTCCTTCTGTTCATCGCTGAATCCGGGTTTGCCTAGTTTCATGCTACGCTGGATCTCATCGGCGAGTCGAAGAGCATAGTGACCTTCTATGCATAAGCGCGCTTGCTCTCGATATCCTGATTCACCGTGGGTTCCCTCGGCAGCAATGTCTCCCCCACATGAGGGCCCACATGGGTGCAGATGCTGGTCCGCCAAACGCTGCGACTTCCTTCTCTTTCCGAGCTCGACAACCATAGCGAGAAACACTTCGGGTGTGCCAGGTGGGCCTCTGCGGTGCAGTAAATCGGTAGAGACCATATTTGTACTGGACTGTGTGGCCTTATGTTGAACTTTTGTGACCGTATTGTCGACACTATTAGGCTTGTCTCGTCCTGGTTTCTCTGAATCTTTGCGACAGGCTTGCATGACCGATATATAGTACTGTTGGCGTAAGTTTGATCTTGCACATGACCTCTGGAAAGCTTCCCTCATTGCTTGTGACCTCAGCTGGAGACATCTTCCACATGCTTGTTACGATCGTAGATGATTTGAGTGTTCGAGAGGCAAACATATTGGCGTGCCTTCGCACTGTGTCAATGCGACTTGCTGAGGAACACCCTTCTGCTTACCAAGCTCAACATAATCCCCAGTGTGTACGTTTACAAGCGTCTTCATCGTAAGCGAGACAGGCGTCATGTCATGCAATATTTAGAAGACGGACGAGTCAAAAGAGCATATTTCAAAATCAATCTGGTAAATCCTCTTGCCAGTAACAACATCGCTAATGAAACTTGTAGTAGCTGCTGCCCGACACTGCTGTATGTTATGCCCAATCAACACACCAGTTCCCACCCTTCAACTTCATCCTCCGTAGGCCAGAACAGCATATCGTCCCAGTTGTTGACAACAGCCTCAAAGCGACACAAATCAAGCGGAAGATCAAGTGTATCGTTGGCGAATCGTTCCACAGACCTTGCTATCCTCTGCCAAACTCTTCCATGTCCACCCAACTGCACAAGGTCCTCCCGATAAGATAAACAACACGGACATGCGTAGTAGCCGACGTAGGCATGCACAAGCTTACGAAGCAACGTACTCATACGAGACATGGCCCGGCCACTCAATTGACGAAAGTTCTGAAACGGTCTGACTTCCAATGCGGATAGTCTCACTACCGCATATGGTTGATCTGGACCTGCGCAAGTCCAGTCACCCATGCTACCCGGATCAGATGGCTGGTCTGACCAGTCAAACCGCACTTCCATTCTATCCCATGGCGTGGTTTGGAAGAAGATGGTTGTCAAGAGGATGATTAGCCTTTCCATTTCCCATCCCTTCACGCTACGGGCGTCTGGGTGATCGAGTCGCTGCAGCACTGCATGTTCGGAATGGTCTTCGATCATGCCGTTGAAAGCGTCGATGGCTTTGATCTGGGCGTCTGTGAGATGGCCGCGGCTGGCTTTTGACCCATGCATCCCCAGATCGCTGAGTTCAGAAGCATGATGACGCCAGAAGAGCAATGGCGTCCGCTCGTCTACTCGGTTGCCGAGCTTGTTGTGGACGGATGTGATTTTGATGACCGTGTTGCAGCAGTTCTTGCATGTTCTGGGAACCGTTTCATCTTGTGAGAGCTTGACGGGATTGCCTTTGTGGTACTCCTTGGTCATGTAAAGAAACTCGTGTGGCGTTCTGGGAGGCTCGCGCCGATTTGATAGCCGAGTACTTTTGTAAGGACGAGAACGCGACGTCAGCTTCTCAGTTCTTATGGGTGGCATTGTTTGGCCTTTAGTAATGGATAGAGAGAGTATATTCATGCATATCCTCCGAGACAATACACGGTACTTATCGATGTAGATAATCATTAGATGTCTCGATGCGAGCGAGACATGGAAGACCAATAAACCCGCACAGATACCAACGACCAGAGACATGCGAAGAAAGCTACATGACATTGGGGCTTTTGCCTATACAACAATCAACGTTTGATTTACTAACTACAACACATCAAGAGGTTCAATCTCCCTGATACCCTAAGTTACCATCCGTTCCAAATTCCACTCTTTGACTTCCTGCTGAGTTGGCCAATATAGCGGTACACCCCAATTAGCTTGTATGGAGGTGAATCTTCCCAGAACCAGTGGTAGGTGAATGAAGCGAGGAGCATTGTGTTCCACCGAGCTCGCAATCCGCTGCCACGCTAGTCCGTGTCCTCGAAGTGATTCGACATCTTTCACAAACGATGGGCACCTACAAGCGTAGATACCCAGATATGCGTGTACCAGCTCGTGAAGAAGGGTGCTTAGGCGTGACATGGTTCGGGCAGATAGGTTTCCTTGGGGCGAAGCATCCATGTAGTTGAAAGCCGACATTTCAATTTTGGGGTGCACATCGCATGTGTAACGGCCAAAATAATCGTCGTTGCGGGTTTTCCATTCGAATTCCAGGTCCATCTGATAGTCGCGGAAGAAGATTGCTGACAAGAGCTTCATCAGATACTTCATCTGGTCCTTGGAGACGCTTCTTGGATCATACCACCCCAATCTTCGCAGTAGAGAGCCCGTTGCTTTGTCCTCCACCAGTTCTTGGAAGGATGCGATCGCATCTAGCTGCTCGTCATTGGCAAACTCAGGTCCCTCTAACATAATAGCTTTAATTTCGTCGGAAAGTCGGATAGCATGATGGCTGGTGCTTCGCAGTGGGTCGCGCTTACGTGTTTGATTTCCCAGCTTGTTGGTGTGCTTTACAGCGCGGATGGCTTTGTCACAGGGATTGCGGCATTTCTCATTGTTTATCCAGGTCCCGAACCGCTGGTGACGGGTTTTGTTGTGACGATCGATGATCATGTCGATGTATTCCTGTGGCGTCTTCGGATAGTCAACGTCGAGAGAAGTCATAGACAGGTTGTATGCATCGCAAAGTCGTCTGCACATGATGGATTGGTTGTATTTCTTTTCCAGAGAATAGCTGGGTGGATTGGTATCCATTGAGCTACTTGCTTGTGATGACATCGCGTGGTAGCTATATACCTAGGTACGTACTGGACCGCAAAGTCTCACAGTATTTGAGACGACCCAAAGCTCGACAACAGCACGCTGCACCAGATCGAGACATGAGATTTCTACAGCGATGTGAATCAGTCGTGGGCAGATGATTCGAAACTCTGAGACTTCCTCTCGCGAGTTTTACAACTGGAAAGGTCTAGAGCCGGGTAACACAGAAATCGTGAACAATAAGCCATAATCACAAAGGAATAGGCAAACATGTCTCGAGATATGAAGTGAGATTCATCTGCGCTTCGTCCAGCCTCTACCCACTACCGAAGACTCTACCATGGCTTCAAATGGACACAGCACCACCCGTCCACCGACAGCACCTCTGACAGGACTCAAAGCAGCCTTCTGCCGCCGCCTCCTAGCCCAAACCTTCGTCAAAGCCTGCCTCTGCGAGGCTTGCGCAATAGACCATTACCTAAACTACCCCTACTCCTGCTGCTTAGGCCATTTCCCAAACGAAATCCCCATCGTACCCGGCAAGCGACCCACTACCGTCATCCACTCCCGATTAAGACATTACGAAGCCCTCCAACTAGTCCGTAGCCCCATCCAGTACTTCAGCAGACCACCAATCGATATGGACATCGAGCAACTTGAAGCCATAACGGAGATACAAAGACTGCTTTACCATGGAGGTCTGATC